ACTTGTATGACCTCCTCAAAGATGAAATTGAACAGATAATTTCAACAGATGTTGATACTGCACTCTGTGGACTTGTGAATGTCTACCAAGAAGCAGCATCTATAAACAAGAGACTTTACTGTTTTCCTTCAACCCATGATAAATCTAGACAGATCAGTCAACCACCTTGGTGGGACTGTGAACTAAAAAACTTAAAGAATGAAAAATACCGTGCCCTGAGAGGACATAGAGACTACTGTTTAGATATTAGTGTGTTCAGGGAGTTGCTCTCTAAACTCAAGAAAACTTTTGCACTTAAAAGACAATCTTATCAAAATCAACAGCAACAAAAACAAATTGAATCAAGAGCTAATCCTAATTTTTTCTGGAAATTGTTAAAGCAAGGGAGACAATCACAATTGCTAGTTGGAATTAGAACTGATGAATGGATGAAGCACTTTTCTTCCCTCCTCCACTCAGAAAATAAACCCATCTTACCTCCACCAACAGACACAGATAATTATGTAACTGATGATACCCCGGCACATGAAGATTTAAATCAACCTATAACAAATCAAGAAGTTTGAACAACATACCCAAAAGCTTGCAAATAATAAATCACCAGGACCTGATGGTATTGTCTCTGAATATTTCAAGAATACAAAAAATATAATTTTACCTACATTGACTGCTCTTTTTAATGAAATACTTTACAATGGTGTGTTTCCAAATGCTTGGAATAGAAGTATCATTTGCCCTCTTTTTTAAGTCTGGAGACAAGCATGATGTAAACAACTACAGGGGAATATCCTTGATTGATAACTTGTGTAAAATATTTACCTCTATCATAAACTGGAGACTTAAGAATGTTTGTGAGAAAAATAACATAATTGATGAACTACAAGCAGGATTTAGGTCCAATTATTCAACTATTGACAACATTTTTAGTCTGCAGGCAATGACTCAAAATATGCAGGGAGAAGAAAGGGGAGATTTTACTGCCTCTTTGTTGACTTTTCAAAGGCATTTGACACCATAAGACATGATAATCTACTGAAAAGCCTACATGATGTTGGGATCAAGGGTAAACTGTTCAATATAATTTCATCAATGTATTCAAGTCTGTGTGCTTGTGTAAGGGCTTCAACTGGACTGACTGATTATTTTGAATGTAATATTGGCACCCGGCAGTGCTGTATTTTAAGTCCACAACTATTTATAATATTCATAAACAAGCTTTTAATTCAACTTGAAGACTGAGGAGGAGAAGGTGTTTTTACATCACAAGATTTTAAAAATGTTTCTGCAATAATGTTTGCAGATGATGTTTCATCTGTATCAGGGGCGGTCGGGTAGCCTAGTGGTTAAAGCGTTCGCTCGTCACGCCGAAGACCCGGGGTCGATTCCCGGCATGTGTGAAGCCCATTTCTGGTGTCCCCCGCCGTGATATTGCTGGAATATTGCTAAAAGCGGCATAAAAACCATACTCACTCACTCACTCATCTGTATCATATTCAGCAGTTCAACTACAAAAGAAAATTGATGCTCTACACTTATTCTGTTTACAAACTGGTATGAAAGTCAATCTGAAGAAGACAAAAGTAATGGTATTTAGAAATGGTGGTCCCCTAAGAAGTTATGAAAAGTGGTCATATTAGTGAAAGCACTGATGTTCCATTTTACAGATATTTAGGAATTATGTTCACCCCCAAACTTGTGTGGACCCAGGCCCAACATGTTTAGCTGCTCAGAGTTCAAAGCTGTGTTTGCCATAAATAGATATCAGAAGAAACTTGGTGATATTCCATGCAAAGATTTATTCAAAATTATTGATAGTATTGTAACTCCTATCCTGTGCTATGGCTCTGAAATCTGGGGTGTTAATTACAGCAAAATCATTGAGGATATTCAAGTTAAGGTGTGCAAATCAGTTCTTAAAGTGTCAAGAAATACATGTAATGTGATGGTGCTCGGTGAGTGTGGTAGAGCTCCTTTACAGCTTACATATATGACAAGAGCTGTGAAGTACTGGTGCAGGCTGATACAACTGAGCCCGGAGAGACTACCATATATCAGTGTTACAAGATGCTAGCTGTTCTGGATGATTCAGGTCGCACCACCTGGGCCACACACATTAAAAATATTTTATTCAGATTTGGATTTGGATATGCATGGATAGCACAAGAAGTTGGGGATAAAATTGTTTTTATTTCCATGTTTAAACAGAGACTATTTGACAACTCGCAGCAAACCTGGAGTGTAAATGTGAACAGTTTATCTGACTCTTATTCCTATAAACATTTTAAATCGTTACTAAATGTTGAATATTACTTAAATTCACCACTTCCATCGCACTTAAAAAGGATTTTAAGTAACTTTCCAATAGCAGTAAATACTGGAAGATACCATGCCTAACCATATGAAGAAAGACTTATTATTAATTTGTGAATCCTACAGCCCCGGTAATGCACTTTTAGATAAATATATATTACCTCTAACCTTCAGCATAACTTTATCTCTATTATTTCCTCAGATGCATATGATACCTTATGTAAAATATCTATTTTTCTTAACCAAAGCTCATCAACTTAGGGTAAATAGTAAATAATCCACTGCGAATTTATAAGAATAAAAAAAAGAAAAGAAATGTAAATAATGTAAATTTTCCCAGTTTGTAAATATGCCATTTTGCGCAGGCTTTATGTATTCCTGCATATGTATGTATTTTGGGCCACTGGCTTTTATTGATTAAATTATCTGTGTGTCTGTCTGTCTGTCTGCCATACATTCAATGCAAAAAATAGCCTGCCGTAAATGACGAAAACTGATTTTTCTGTATGACGTCAAAAGAAAAGAAAAGGGGGCAAAACTCAGCTATGCTTAGCTCCAGTTTATTTAAACTCAGGTCACCTGGTGAGAATTAGCTGTGGGTAAGGACAGTATATTTTCGTGGTATTTTGTTCACGAGTAACCAAACTATTCCAACACAAATATCGATATTGAAACTGTATACTCCCTTATATTACCGTAAGAAACATCGGCGGATACAAAGGGGGGGTGCGCACCCCCCTTTTTATTTCGAAAAAAATCTTTATTTCTGTATAAATTACCACCAAAGACAATAAATAGATCTTAATTGTGCACCCCCCCCCCCCCCCCCCCCTTTTCAAAAAAGCCCATGAGAAGTGATGAAACTTATTTCATAAAAAAAAAAAAGTAATAGCGAAATGAATGGCCCTATCTAAGCTGTTAATTAGTCCTTAGATTGCAACATTCTTCTGACTGGTCAAGTGTAATTTGGCTTATGTTGCACCATTATTAATGGTACTAGTCTTGTGATCAAATGTAATGAAATACTATAAAAATGACACCATTCTATTTGATGTCATGGCTGGTTGTATGTCTTTGACAACGTCGGAGAAAGACGACACTGGTATTTTGATTAATATATATTTACCTCCCCTAATTACTTTTTACAATTCTTGGAGAAATAAAGTAATTAGTTTAATATCCTGTGATCACAATATTTAGAAAAAGATGAACATTTTGGTTGTATAATACAAAACGAGAGGAATAATTCGTAAATCGGTTGTGACAACGCGCACCTGCGAATCGTTAGATATCACTGTTATGTTTATCAAACGACCTAAAGAACTATTCCAAGTCCAAGACAATTCTCCTGGAAATGTGTGCGTATATTTTAACGCAAAATATCCATTTGGTTAAAGTAATATATTCAGTTTAAGTTTTAAAATAAAATGAAACGGCTATTCATGGAAGTTGTTTATATGAACTTATAATATTGACTTTGACACTCCCAAGAAATTTCTGTTGAAAAATATCAAATCATAGCAATGTATCTATTTTTAATTCCCTAATTCTTCCTATAATTCTCTTCCCATGCATATTCTGAACGAATAGACGAATGGATAGCTAAAAAAGGGGGAAAATGCTACACTGTAAAATATGTATTTAGCTTTGTTTACATTTCAAACAAGTGCAGTTTTTCGAGCACAGCGTTGTTTTCACACCTAACTTATTTTGCTTGATTTGATCTCGGCACTTTGTATTGGTGACCGAGACCATGTGTCATTTGATTCTAAAATGTATGAGGAATTCAAGGATGTATGTATCACAGCTGAGTTTGAAATACGCGTAATGTTACAGGCGTCTCATTACCGGTAGGCTACATGTGAAACGTGATTTTGTAATCACTATCTAATATGGCGGAAAGTTCACAGTATACAAAACTGTGACGAGTATCTGCGTGTATGATGTATTTTGAATTTTATTCGACTTCAAAGTGAGGTTTGAAGAGGAGGGAAATAATATATGTCCCTCTGGCATCTTGCCCCTGGGTAAAAAACAACAAATAACCCAAACCCAATCTATAGCTCTGAATTCATCGGGGGAATCTGGTCAGTCGTGAGACGAGAGTGTAAAGAAGATGTCACACGCTGGGAAGTAGCTTGATTGTAATGGTGAAATGGGAGAGAGAAAATAAATATCTCGCCAATCAGAAATATTTCTTTTTAAATTTCAGCAGCAATAATATGCAACACATCTCCATTTGTTAATCTATATCGCCCACATGAGGCCTGTGCTGTACTTGCATATATCGCGAAGCCAGTATTGTGCCGCCCTGTGAATTACCGGTATCGTATTTAGCCGAGAAAACAGCCGGCAGCTTTAGTGTTTAGACCTAAGCCGGAATGCCGTGACGTCATCGACAGTGTGACGTCACTGTCATTGTACATTTGGCGCCACGTCAGCTGGGCGAACCTCGGGTCGGTCTTCACCGAGTGCAGCGAGATGTAAACAAACATAATTTTTGGTGTTTTTCACGATTAATTACAAACTTCTGCCGTAAAATTAACACAGAAATATATGACGGCATGCATGAACATATCACGAGGTGCAGTGCTTACTATTCACACGTCATCTCTATTTACACTCAGTTAACAATTTTCTTACCTGATGATGCGAAGTTCCAAACACAACAAATGACAAAATGTCTGACAAAGTTTTTACAAGTTTTATTCATCTCCAAAAACAACAAACAGTTTCACGTAAATAAAGACATATGTACACACGACGACGTGAACGGCACACCACGTCACTGTCAGGTCTCCCCCCACTGTCCACACAAACACGACACTGACGTCACTGAGCGCCGCGGGACACGAGGAGATCCACCACTCGCGTACGTCCCCCGGATCTCGCCAGGGAGGCCGCCGTCCACCCGAAGTTGTTCCTGGCGTCGATGTCCACCACGTGCAGAGACAGCACAAACTTCACCGTCTCCAAGTATCCTCCATAACTGGCGAAGTGAAGGGTGTTGCGACCGTACCTGTCCACCAGTGACACATCGGCCCCTTCACTCACCAGGAGCTCCACCACGTCTCTGTGTCCCTCGTATGCTGCCCTCATCACCGGTGTCTCGCTCCCCTCTCCCCACCTACAATCGACGTCCACGCCCCGAGACAGGAGCCGCTTCACCTCCTCCAGGTTCCCGGCATCGCTGGCGTCAATGAGGTCCTTGCAGTCTGCTGGTGATGGAGTCGCTGTAACACAAAGTAAACTCTGTACACTTCCAGACATCTTCGTCATACATCTACATGGTTCACACCTCAACGTGGTGACACGTGACACGGTACGTCATCAACCACTTCCAACATGGCTGACAACACAAGGATCAAGGGGAAGGACGACAGCTGGTTCATGTAATCAAGGATTATGTGGTCAATGTTTAGAATCTTTCTGTCACATCCAGTTGTTGTAACATTATTCTGTGTGTGGCTGGCGAGTGTCAACGTTTGATGGACTGAGCTTTATGAGATGATACTGTCAGTACAGTTGCTGTTTGGACATATTAGATAGATCTTATAAGACATGACATTGGAGTATGTCAGTCTGTTTGTGTGTTTGTTGTTTTACGCCGCACTCAGCAGTAGTCCAGCAATAAGATGGCGGAGTCTGGTACAGACAGACAGTCCAGTGGTTGACAACGTGAGCACTGATCGACACAACTGGAATACGGTGACATGCAAGACGCAAGTCAGAACCCCCACGGGTCTATACCCAAGCTTGTTAATTGTTGGAGGGATTAAAGTGTGGGCTTTCTACCTGCTGGGTTCTCCCACCTACCCTGTGTAGCAGGCTTTTTTGTGGTCGTCACTGCTGTCCTCGTGGTCCGACTCGGGTCGCTCGAGGCTGAAACACAGAACATGCTGTTCAGAAAACAATACAGACCACATTAGCATTATACATATCAGATATTCTACAAAGTTTAGGTTTTTAAAATTTTGACTGATGAATACAATTTCAAAACCATTCATCTTAGTAGAGGTATTATTATAAGGTAGTCTAGCGACTAATAAATCACTCAAACGCCTATCATAAATATACAACACATGTACAAAATTTGAGATTGCTGTTCATCTGAGCCGCGCGTCTGTACAGGCTTGTTGGATTGAGTCTTATGGTGGTACTGGCAATACAATCGACTTGTTTCAAATTATTAGAATAATAAGAGACTACATTTATCAATTTGTTATTGTAGAGACTGTTCATATGAAGGTTTGTGGAGTGAACTTTCAGACTTATATTTGTCACATGTTGATGTGACCTCATCTCGTACAAAGTTGGACAGTGACAGTATCTACCACCTGCTGGCTTCTCCCACCTACCATGGGTCGTCACTGTCGTCATCTGTGCAGCCCTTTCTCCCTGACTCGAGTCGTTCGAGGCTGAAACACAAAATATGCTGTTCAGTTGGGTTGGGTGAGTTGGGTTTTACAGGTTCTTAGCAATATTCCAGCAATATCTGGGCGGGGAACACTAGACATGGGCTTTGCACATTGTACCCATGTGGGGGAATCGACCCCAGTTTTTCCGCGCGAAGGGCGAATGCTTTAACCACTAGGCTACCCACCACCCAAAACCCCCATATATGCTGTTCAGAAAACTATATATTGCAGGTAAACATTATAACTACTGGCCTCAGAGAAGCTTTTGCCTTTCAACAAATGTGTGACTTTCAAATTTATTCACTGATGAACTTAACTTATAATACATTTGTTGCAGTAGAGGCTTATTCATATATCATAACATGGTGACTGACAAATTTTGGAAATCACTTATATTTATTAGATTTAGATTGCTTTTATCACTTCTCTTCTCTTGGTTGAAGTTGCAGGAACTGAATAGATTGTTATTTTGTTGTCATAATAATATAATCATACAACATACAACAAAAATGAACATTACTACATCAGCGATAGAAATTGGCACTCGTCCTATATTCCTTGCCAAACATCCCAATAGTTCAGATATCATAACGACTAGGCTAGTAGACATATGTCATTCTTTAGGGTTTTATATGTTACCATTATGAGGACTAAGGACTAAACATGTTAGTTTATATTGCTGTACACAGAATACACAGAATATGTGCATTTATTATTTTGGAACTTTACAACATGGTATTACATCAGCTACCTACTCTTAATTCTCAAATTATGGAATGATTAGTATTTTAGTCTGACTTCGTTAGTTGTGGGTGGAATCGTTATGACAATGAAATGGTCCCCGCAAGTTGTTGCGTTGTTGCATAATATCTGCATTTGAGTATCAATACTGTGAATAGCAAACCTTCTTCGCTCATACAGGTCAAATACTGAACATTGTTTTCTAATTTTCATTGCCTGCTATGTTATTACTACTGCATATTTAAATAATACTCAGGTATTTGTTGCGAGTGAGAATCGATGCACACCCTTATATATATTTTGACCAGGATATGACGCCCACCAGTGTAATTCTGGAGGAAAATATATTGCTCGTGTATTTCAACGTCTGTGGACAATGGGCATTTTACACAATTGTTACATCGTCAAATAGACAACTGTCTTGCTGGTTTCTCTGTGTCCATATTGCTTTTTGCCAATTGATGATAACAGGCTACTAAATGTAGAGTGCTGCGACCTATCGTAAATTATTTGTTGTCCCGAGTGACTTTGCTTGATGTTTTAGTCCCCACCCTCCCCAATACAAACACTCTCTTAACTAGACTCTGAAACTGGTGCATTTTACGTCGTTTGGTGTCTCGGGCTACACAGTATTACAAACGTCGATATACGACATGCTACAGATTAATATTTCAGTGAGGACATTTTCTTGATGATATACAATCAATGTAAAATAGCAACAGGTCTACTTGACTACGCGCGTGTGCAACAGAGTAGTAATTAAGTGTCAGGAAAACCATTTGCAACACTGTCATAATTCAGCATTCCGAGCGATGGCGGCAGTACATTCATCACAGATCAGCTTACTATCTGAGGCAGAAACTGTCGCCGGCACTACAAGATGTTTGATACGGTGTTTGGTTGTGTAAAGAAGGGAATAAACATGTGGCTCTATAAAGTGATAAGACTGAAATGCCGATTGCCCGTGTGACATTCGCCAAATTGTTTTCGCATTTGACGTCCGTTCTAACTGAGTCATAAAATAATGAGAATCACGCACATTTTCTCTTATATATTCTACATTTCCTTGCAATTCTTCAAAAACAATGCAAAATTACATTTGTTCCTGATAATATTTTCCGGATTCGAAGAACAAAGCTGCAGGCCTTGAGTGTAAAAATAATATGGCTGACACATTTGGCCGTTCTGTGATGCAGGACAATGTTTTAAAAATATGAGCGAAAAAACACATCCGACACTTGACTGAACAGATTTAGAATCATCTCATATAGTCTTCAGTCCCAGTTGTAAATAATTGTTATTAGTTCAGAGATCAAACTTACAAGCATATATTATGCAATATACTGATTAAAATAGAACAAGCTTTTCAGTTGAAACGAGGTATGAATGTTTACATCCAGACGTTTGTTATCCCCGGTGACAGGCTAAACAAACGTCTGGGTGTAAACATTGTGTGAAGCAAGCACCTGATTCCTTCAAAATGTATTCTGTTGTACATCAATCTTAAAATATTTACAATTTTTGTTTCATTTAATTTCCTAACAAAATTCTGAAGTACAAGCGGAAAACTTACCCACCGTTTACGTCCTAACACGAGTGACACGTCCCACTGCCAGTCAAGAAACGCCTTGACTGGCGAAGGGGCGAGTTATGACGTCAGTGTGACGTGTCTGGTTAGGAGCATGGCATATTTTGGCGCTCGGCTGCTTGTGCCGATCACTCTAAGATAATACAGTGTGGAGTGATACTAGATCTACAAGTCTTACTACAGTCTCACCTTATTTCGTCTCAGATTGCATGTTGAGGTAAAAAATTAAGCCTACTTCATTGGTTAAAGAAATCTACCTCATCACCTTCCGTAAAATATGACTTTATTTTTATTCTAAGATGCTTCCCTAAAAGATCAAAGGCACCGACAATACTTTATCCTGCGACAAAGCATTGTTTCCGCGTAAAGATCTGGAGTAGAATAAGGTCTCGAGCAACCCATGCTTGGCGTAAAAGGCGACTATGCTTGTCGTAAGAAGCGAGGTCGGGTGGTCAGGCTCGTTTACTTGGTTGATGCATGTCATCGATCCCAATTGCGTGGATCGATGTTCATGATATTAATCACTGGATTGTCAGGTCCAGACTCGATTGTTTACAGACTGCCGTTATTTAGCTGGAATATTGCTGAGTGCGGGGTTAAACAACAAACCAACCAAACCAACCATGCGACAACAGTCACAAAATTGTTCGATTCGGGCGTTGGTGCCCTAAGAAATTAAGTAGGCTATGTCTTCAGCATGGATCGATGCTCATGACATCAATCACTGTAACGACTCGATCTATTGACTGTAACGACTCGATCTATTGACTGTAACGACTCGATCTATTGACTGTAACGACTCGATCTATTAACTGTAACGACTCGATCTATTGACTGTAACGACTCGATCTATTGACTGTAACGACTCGATCTATTGACTGTAACGACTCGATCTATTGACTGCAAGCCTGCACTTCTCACTTTACCATGGGAACATATTTTTAAACTGGTCGAGCCCGACTTGCCTGGCCCTCGCCCTGCATGAGACATCATTTTGGCTTGTTAAGAACCATCAGACCATGAACTCATGTTTGTGTTTGGATCGGAAAATTACCAAGAACTACTGACCAGTTCCTCAACCTTATCACAAGCAAACATAGCATCGAAGCTATCGCGACGGTAGCCACCATTTTGAATGTTGTATTTGTAAAACATGTCGGCCGCTGACATAGTGATGAAGTGTTGCCTTGTCGCTGTTGCATTTCGTATTGGTTATTTTCAAAATTTTTACTGAACATGAAATTTGATTGTAGATGAATGCGCCCAGGTATTTAACTCAGTCACAGCAATAACACATGTGCATACTTAAGTCCGTTAAGTAGGAACTAAATCTGTGGGTTAAAGAGTCGTTGGTTATCTGATATACTAGTAATTTATCGATAAAGGATCGTCAAAAAGGATATCCTGAATGACTATTATTTCGCGCCGCTTTTAACAGTATTTCGGTTATACCACGGTGTGTCTAGCTTGATGTGGGAGGAAAATACGAAATATTGTATAGTGCTGGGATTCGAACCTACGATTATAGATTTCTTGCACGCCCAGGGGACGCAACTCTTCACTGCGAATTGTGCCGCCTAAAACGACTGGGTCAACCGTGTCTGTCTGTCTGTCTGTCCCTTTGTATAACTAAGATAACTATATTTACGCGACTAAATGTTACTCAACTGGACTCTCCTGAAAGTGTCAATCTTATTCTGTTTTGTATATGCGCGACGGAACGGTCGCTATACCTGCTACATACCAATTATCAGAATATTTATCTATATAAACAGGGCGTTAAAAAAATCCTTGACAATGCGGTTCTGACAATTCAATCAGGAAGACGAGTTTTTTCAAAATGGAACTCAGAAAGGTGACAATGTTTCATCATGTGTGGTTATTTCCGCGTCTGTCATATAACAACTATAACTCCTGTATCCATGATCAGATTCTATATTTCTACAGGGCGTTAGAAACCTCTTGACAGTGCGGTCCTGCAAACATTATCTTCCGAGTTATCTGGCAAACAATTGTTTTGAAACGGGACTCAGAACGGTGGAAAGTTTGCTCTCCAAATCCTTATCCTAAATCTGAGTTCACATTTACTTAAATAATTGGAATGACTATGTGAATGCGGTTAGGGGATTGTGGGTTGAAGAACTCGTGGGTACCAATGAAGTGTAAGACGATGGAGGCGATGATTCGGAGACATCGATGTTGAAAATGATGAGCCTGATGTAAAGTGGTCTGTCGGTTTACACGGGTTGCCCGGTCGTCTATAGGGCGCGATTGTGGGTTCGAATCCCGGTTCGTCCCGATAATGTTTCTAGGTTTGTCAGCACCATACCCGTGCTCGTGGGTTTCACCGAAGTGGTAGACGTCTGAGACCTGCATCACTTCAGGCTTAGCTCCCCATTAAGCTGACACGTCGTGATATAACTAGAATAAGTTTTAAAGCGGCGTTTAAACCAACTCACCCGACACATGTGCGGCGGAAGGATTTTTACTGATCAATTTCCGTCTATGACTTGTTACAGATTCTTGTTACTTCGCGTGTCCCGCTGTGATATTGCTGGAATAATGCTAAAAGCATACTCACTCACTCACTCACTCACTCACTCACTCACTCACTCCGCGTGTCATACAAAGATACCTTTCACAGATATGTCAGGCACCTTTATCACACTAA